AACAGTTTTTGTTAGAGACAATCTGATTATTCGTTCGTCAAAGTAATGTACAACGAAACTTTGCGTCCACAACCGAGGCTAAAGATATAGCCCTATACTTCTGATTCAAGCATTTACTGACTGCGAAATAACTTTGCGTCCACAACCCAAGTTAAAGATATAGCCTTATACTTCCGATTCAGGCAACACTGAATGCAAAATGAAAAAAAAATTGACCTTGAAAGGTCAGAGAAGAACATGTACTATTGGAGGAGGAATTTGACACAAACACTTGAAGGATTGTTTTTCGACACAAACGCTTGAAGGATTGTTTTTCTTATTTTGTCCTCTACCTTGCGTGGGTGTTTCAGATCTAATGATTTATTAATAAGTTGTTTGATTTCTTGTAATTCTGTCATTTTAGAGGACTGTTTTTTCATTTCGCTGTCTTTGTTGTGTGAATCGGAGCTGTAGCACTTTATCTAGAACCTTGCCGAACACTATATGTTCTTCTCCGACCTTTAAAGGACTAGTTTTTTCCATTTCACTTTCAATGTTGTCTGATTCGGAACTATAGGGCTATATCTCTAACGATTGTTGTGAAGGACAGTCTTCTTTCCGTGTTCTTCCTTCACAACCACGGTTAGAGATCTAGCCCTGTAGTTCCGATTCAGACAGCAATGAAAGCGAAATGGAAACAAAACTAGTCTTTGAAAGGTCGGAGAAGAACATGCAGTGTTCGCGAAGGTTCTAGATAAAGTGCTACAGTTCAGATACAGACAACAAAGACAACGAAATGAAGAAAACAGTCCTCTAAAGGTCAGAGAAGGAACTCAAAATTTATGACGTGGAATTTTTGTCAAGGACTTGTCTTTCTTATTTCTTCTTTTCCTTACCTTGATAAAGGGATTTAGGATTGTAGGTGCAACCTGCCTGAGCTGTCTCATTTATGTCGTTTGCAAAGGTCATTGTAGACCTTTTCATCCATCTTCTTTAATGCGTCCTCCTCCTAAGCCAAGGTTACAGACACAACCCTCTAAGTTCAGACAAGAACGACACAAAAATGGTAGAAACACTCCTTTAAGGGTCGGAAAAGAACCCACAAAAATCCAATCTCGAACAAGATATGTTCTTTTCCGACCCTTAAAGGAGTTTTTCTACCTTTTTACTGTCGTTCTTGCGTGAACTTAAGATTATAGGGCTATGTCTGCATTTATTTTTTTTTAATGTCTAAGCCGTCTGCAAAGGGTTTGACTACCCGAGCGAAAGAAATTGCGATGAAGAGAACCCCCGGGCGTCGGTGCTCCGTTGCAGGAGGGATAACTCCGAACTTATGCTTTTGGGGCCAGACGGGCTGGCGCAATTGACAGTCGTGTGTAATTTTGGTTGAGGAGGAGGACGATCTAAAGAAGACTGTTTTCTGGATCCGTCCTCTGCCTTGCCTGGATGTAAGGATTGAGGACTATGTTAGTAACCTGCCTGATATATTATATTTGGTCATTTCCTAGGAGGTGCCTGCATCCTTAACCTCCAGCTTTGTTCTTCCTCCTCCTCACACAAACACACAAAGCCTTACGATCTTCCTCCGCCTCCTCCAAGCCTCCTCTTCCTCCTTGCCATGTTCTTCCTTCCTCCTCCTCACACAGACACACACAACCTTGCACTGTCATCTTCTTACTCCTCTTCCCCTCTCCTTCTCCTACTAGTCCAGCTCCTTACCATCTTACTCTTCCTTCCTCCTCCTCACACAGACACACACAACCTTCCACT